CCTCGTCCTCACATTTAGACCGGCCCCAGCGCCGAAGTCCTTATCTAGCGACGTGGCTCGCCATTCCCTTCCTGGATGGTGACCGTCGCCTTCATATGACGCATGACTTATCATCGCCTCGTCCCCATATTCGGACCGGTTCGTCAGCGCTGTCGTCCTCATATTCGGACTGACTCATCAGCGTCGTCGTCCTCATATTCAGACATGCGTCCACCGCCTCGTCCCCCTATTCAGATATAGCGAATATCTTCCGGTCTCCGACCGAAAGGCTAAAGGAGCCCAGAGTTCAGCCATATATCGCTCTGTCATCTTTATTTGATGACGCGAAGCTCATTTGTAGGCCCATCGGCCATATATCGCTCTGTCATCTTTATTTGATGACGCGAAGCTCATTTGTAGGCCCATCGGCCATATATCGCTCCGTCATCTTTATTTGATGACGCGAAGCTCATTTGTAGGCCCATCGACCATATATCGCTCTGTCATCTTTATTTGATGATGAAGAGCTCATTTGTAGGCCCATCGGCCATATATCGCTCTATCATCTTTATTTAATGACGAAGAGCTCATCTACAGGACCATCGGCCATATATCGCTCTGTCATCTTTATTTGATGGTGAAGAGCTCATTTGTAGGCCCATCGGCCATATATCGCTCTGTCATCTTTATTTAATGACGAAGAGCTCATCTACAGGACCATCGGCCATATATCGTTCTGTCATCTTTATTTGATGACGAGGAACTCATTTGTAGGCCTCTGAGCCACATCTTGCTCCGTCATCTTTATTTGATGACGCGAAGCTCAGTTGCAGACCCATCGAGCATATATCGCCTCGTCATCTTTATTTGATGACGCGAAGCTCATTTACAGGCCCATCGGCCATATCTCGCTCCGTCATCTTTATTTGATGACATGGCGCTCGCATATAGGCCTCTGAGCCATACATCACCCCGTCATCTTTATTTGATGATGTGGGGCTCTCATGTAGGCCTCTCGGCCATACGTCGCCTCGTCATCTTTATTTGATGACGTGGAGCTCTCATACAGGCCTCTCTCGGCCATACATCACCCCGTCGTCTTTATTTGACGACGTGGAGCTCTTATGCAGGCCCCTCAGCCGCACCATCGCCCCGTCGTCTTTATTTGATGACGTGGAGCTCTTATGCAGGCCCCTCGGCCGCACCATCACCCCGTCGTCTTTATTTGACGACGTGGAGCTCTTATGCAGGCCCCTCGGCCGCACCATCGCCCCGTCGTCTTTATTTGACGACGTGGAGCTCTTATGCAGGCCCCTCGGCCGCACCATCGCTCCGTCGTCTTTATTTGACAACGTGGAGCTCTCGTACAGGCCTCTCGGTCCATCGGCCTTACGTTCTGGTCATCTTTATTTGATGAACCAGACATCATATTATGGACGGTCGCTCGACCCATCCCTTAGTCATCTTTATTTGATGACTAGGACTACAGATCATGATGAGCTACCCACATCTAGAGATCGGCCTTGACCATCCAGCAGACGGGCACCGCTGCAGCTCCATCTCCAGGCCGAAGGGCTCGCACCTTTTGTTTCATTTTGGGGGCATCCGGTGTACTCTTTTTCCCTCATTAGGATTTTTTCCCACAGGGTTTTTTCCTAATGAGGTTTTTAACGAGGCATCTCCCCATCGTGGATCAAAAGGTGTCAACCCTCGGCCCCCTATTGAAGACATCATCTGACACACATTACTCTACTCCTCTTCACCTCATTACACTCGCCTCAAGGAGTGGGGGATTCGGAGAGCGGGGGACTTAGCGCCTCCGTTAACCAAAGAAGCAGAATTTCAAATTTTTGTTCATGAAGTTTACTCACCAGACGGCGACAGATCAGCACACAGTTCTACTCTCTTTCGCCTCGAATACTCTCGACTCAAAGAGTGGGGGACTCCTGATAGAGTATATAGACTCGGACCCCCGAGTCTCACGACTATTGGGCCCGGACAGCGACCTACACACATCTTACGGGTATCATTTGTATTATTGTACTGCTTATATGTCATTTGTATGTAACTATGTACTAGATTAGTCTTTTATGTAGTTGGGTTACTGGGCCCATATTAGCGGCCCGACCCATTATTTCCCTATTTATACTCCTCTTGGAGCCATTTGTAAACCTAACTTTCACAACTCACAATTCATACACAATATCACATTTCTACTATTCATCCATCTTCTCCAATTATCTAGCTCAATTTCTCATTTTATATATACTTGGATTCCTATAATCCATCATATATATATAGATGTCTCTCACGCAATAGTTATAAAGCATAAAGCCGTCTTCTCACCTTAAATGAAGCTTATGAAGTTCTAGCCTCCCTTATTGAGCTCCGGCGAAACTCCGGCGAACTTCAATGAACTCCGACGACCCTTTGAACTCTGTGAAAGTTCCTTGAATACCTTAGACCAGTTACTAACAAGGTTTTATCATCATAAGACCCATATTAATACAAATAACCTCCAAAAGGTTATTTTCCGGTCACTTTGGCTTCTAAGTCCGTTCTTGGACTTAGAACTACCTTCCAACCCCTCATTCTACACTTCTAAGCATGTAGAACAGTCCTATGGGTATGAAATATGATTAGAGGTAGGGAAAGGGATTAATGGAGTCATTACCTTGTTAACCACAAGTTTCCCACCTAAACTCCCATTTTCTCCTCTCTTTTTCCTTCCTTCTTCCTCCCCTTGCTTTGTGCTTGAATGGTGGATAAGAAATGGTGATTTGCAGAGCTCCTCTCACCAAGAATGGATGGCCTTGTCGAGCATATGGGTTGAAGACTGATTGAGAATGCCTTTTTGGCATTTCTCACCAAATAATATGGGAGGGGTCCCATTTCCTTTATTTATTTTGTTTCCAAATCACTTCATGCCTCTCCCCCATGTTTTTGTGTGGCTCTACTAGGGGTGGGCGTGGTTGGTTAACCGTGTTTTGGTTAACCAACTTTCCGGTTAATCGAGAAACCTATTACTTCGGTTAACCGAGTATCGGTTAACCAAAGCTTCGGTTAACCGAGTATCGGTTAACCAAAACTTCGGTTAACCACAACCCGGTTAACCAAAAACCATCAAACCATTGATTAAATATATACACACACCATGTTCTTTCTATATTAATTAAGTCCAAACAAGAGAAAAATAAATTTTGAGAGTGGAATACGGGAAAAGATAAAATACACTTAATAAGAATAAACGTGTTCAATTGCTTCAAAAAAAGAATACACATGTTCAAGTCTCACGATTGCAGAATGGGCTAATTAATTATAACTCACAAAAGCTTTGACTAATTATTAATAATATGAAATTAAAAATTCTATAGTGATAAACAGAATTTGGTTTCTTCACATGTTTATTAGAATTGATGTATCTAGATGTGTTGGATACATATTTATCTTTCCAAGTTCTCTGAGAACGTGAAGTTCATGACCAGACATGAACATACCGGTTATTGGTTAACCGATAATAACATATTTCTAAAACCGTAACCGTACCGCGAACCGTTTATTCTCACGGTTGGTTAACCGTACCGTGGATTTAAAAAATTGCGGTTCGGTTAACCGGAAAAAATGGCGGTTTTCCGGTTTTTAGGCGCGGTTATACGGTTACGGTTTTTTATGCCCACCCCTAGGCTCTACCTCATCTTGTGCAAGGATAAAACGTGGGTTGGCCCCCACTTATGTGGGAGGTCAACCCTTTGTGTCCCCGGGTGTACAATCGTTCTCGAAAGTTGTATTTTCCGGACTGTTTCAATTATATTTTATTTTATCGGGTCAAATAAAATATAACACTTGTTTTCAATCCTTATTGGACCTTAGACGGAATATGTATTCCTCAACTTTAATTTCGAAGTCTCCGAAATCCCTTTTCGGGCTATTATTCGATAAATTGTTGATACTGATAATTGGGCTTCGTTTGACCAACCGGTCAACCCTATGCCTTTGCCATGGCCCAATTAGGATATCCACCACCATATAAATATTATCTAGGCCAAGATTAATATAATATGTGGTCCCGACAGTACCGGGCGGCCCCCACTCCCGGCGTGGGCCCCACATGATTTTTACTATTCACGTAAAAAAAATGATAAAAATTTACAATCACGTAAAATGCGTTTATTCATTTCTCAGGGTTGAATACATAATTAGATAAAGTAAAAATACTTGAGGGTGGTGTTACACTGAGGTCCTGGGCTTCTCCAAGTGTTTTATTAACAGTTTCGGATGGAGTATATGGGTCTGAGCCCCCGGACCCACATACTCGGAAGAACAGAAAGCTCAAGACAACAGAGTGGCGCCCTCGTCGGCCAAGACGCCCCCGTCGGCCGAAAAGGGGCCAACTCAGATTACGGTCCTGAGCTTAAGGGACTCGGGTACCCTCGTCGGCCGCGCCCTCGTCGACCGTGCCCTCGTCGGTCACGCCCTCGTCGGCCACGAAGACCTCCCAGAATCGGATTCTATACTTACTCATTTGTACAGCCCATTAGAGGCTTTGTATTCGGCCCAGTAGCGGTCCAGTTGTAAATGGGCCTCCCAAGCCCAAGGCTTGGGAGCCCAACCCTAATTTTCTCTATAAATACTCCCCTTGGGAGTAGTTATAGGGGTTACGAAATCATTCTATTGAAGCACATTACTGCACTTCTCTCTCTAGCTCTCACTTCTCTCTAGATATACTCTATCAGTTTCGAACGACAATATTGATCTCACTTGAAAGATCATGAAAAATAAAAAATGTTGACATAAATTTTATAAAAATTGGATCAAAAATAAAAAATTTATTACAATTTTTTTAAAAAACAGAAATAAAAAATAGTGAATTCAGCTTGCCAAGACTGTATACGGGTATACCAACTGAAAAATTAGGCTCCAAAACGAAAAACAAAGTAAAGTTGAGCGCCCAAAATTTAGCACCATGTAAGTATCTACAAATATTCAATAGGTGGATTCTATCCGTCGATTCGCAAAATCAACCACTCACGAACAGCCCTCCTTTACTCTCGGATCGCAAATAACAACCGTCGATTAACCAATTGAAACGAACGATCAAGATTACATTCCCGGCACAACAACTTACTGAAGCCTCGATGTATAAATAACGCCAAGCAACTCCATTTTAATCATCCAAGCGGAATTTGTCTACAATTATCTATTCAGTAATCAAACTCCATCGTCTTCTTCTTTCAATTTCTCTGGGTAACAATGTCTGGCCGCGGAAAGGGAGGCAAGGGTTTGGGCAAGGGAGGCGCTAAGCGTCATAGGAAGGTTCTCCGTGACAACATCCAGGGCATCACGAAGCCAGCCATTCGCCGTCTGGCTCGCAGAGGTGGCGTGAAGCGTATTTCCGGTCTGATCTATGAGGAGACCAGAGGTGTTCTTAAGATCTTCCTCGAGAATGTGATTAGAGATGCGGTGACCTACACCGAGCACGCCAGGAGGAAGACTGTAACGGCGATGGATGTTGTTTACGCGCTGAAGAGGCAGGGAAGAACTTTGTATGGTTTCGGTGGATAGAGATGCTCTGAATATTTCTCAGTACTTCTAAATCTGGGATTTCAACTTTTGTTTATCTCGTACGATGTATGTTATTGCTGTTTCTGGGAACTTAGAACATGTGTAATGCCAGCAATTTAATTAATATATGCAAGATGCTGATTTTGTCAGTTCGAATTGATTACAGTGTGATGTTGGAGTGGGAATTGGATCTGAAGTTCTTTCTTCTCTTCTATCGCTTTAATTGTTCCTTTGATCCATGATGCGATTTTCACTGGGATTAGGCTATTAAATGATACTGTTAGGGCACTTTAGAAACTTTTTCGTGACGTCTGCCGTTTCATTGAACTGCTATGTGCAGATGTTCCTTTCTTATATCAACAAAAAAGTTTCATTTGATTTGTGATTCAAAGGCAGTCACAGCCATGGATTCTAGGAATCTTTCCGTAGTGTTAGAACTTCCACATGAAGTTTAATGCTTGGTTTTCCTGTGTTGTTCCAGTTGACAAATTGTCAATGTGTAATGACAGTCTGGGATTTCATCTTTAGCTTTTTTAGCTCGTATGTTATTACTGTTTTTCAGTCAATGTGTAATGACAGTCTGGAATGCCAACAACTTGAGTAATCTATGTAAGATGTTGATTTTGTCAGTTCAAAAAAGTCTAACTTAAAAAATCAGTGACCGAATATTAAAAAACACTTTCCAAAACTCCCTCAGTCCAAAGTGTCATTAAAGGTTAGATATAATTATACCTTGATTCCCTATGAGTACGTTTCAATATATTTGCAGCCTTGAAGGCATTCATTTATGCATCTTGCATTATCTTCCCAAGGGTAGTTAAATGATCTTCATTAGTGGGCAAACAGGAATAGTTATATGATCTAAATCAAATGCAAGAGTGACGTGCACTTGTCGTTAGGTGCACTCAAAATAATTAATCAATACGACACTAATACGTAGTATAGTGTAGTAAGGTTCGTATCCACAGGGAAAGGAATACTTCTCTTTTATATAAGTGGTAACAAAGGGGGGTTTAGATTTGTTTGGTTTTAAAAAACACTAAGATAAACAACCTATATGAGTTTAATTCAATGAGATGTGGACTTGGTTTTGCTTTTATCCACTTAATGAGATGTTCGTCGATCCCGGTTATATCTTTAACTATCTTCCTCTCGAATACTCAATCGAGGAGTATATCCAGTTAATCGAGGGTAGTTATTAATAACGAGATGCGTTCATTAATAAAACTTACTATCGAGTCAATATAGAACAAGCGCCGTATATTAACTTGATAGTAGCAATAAACTTAAGATGAAAACGATTGAGATTGATAACCTCAACACAAGCGGTTTATTGGTTTAATCAATATAATTAATTCCCCTTGGCATATTAACCATGAGATGCATGCATTAATATTCCAAATTTACTACCGTTGAAAGAACCGGATTAATAACAAGCGTATTAACCGATCGATTCTAGTAATAATTAATATGAGAAACAATACTAATTGATACTTTAAGTAATGTTTAAGATATTAACATGAAATATGAATAGGAATTTAATTAATACTCAAGGAAGAATATCAAAGAATATAAATCCTACTATGATTAATATCAAGATGTTGACTAATTGTCATATTAGTAACACTCCCCAATATTAACATAAAGGAAGAAATAGCTATTACTATAACCAATGTCAAGATGTTAACTAATTGTCATCTTAGTAACACTCCCCAACTTTGATATAGAGATAGTATTTTAAAAGAAAGAATTAATATTCAAGGAAGAAGATTAAAGAAAACAACTCACAACTTACAAATTCATTAAGCTTCAAAGTAGCAAAACCAAGATGGAAGAGTTTAGCTCCTCATTCGGAGACTAAATATGATGAAAAATATAAAGAAAGAACTATTCTATACTCAGCTTAGATGTACAAAGGAATTGGATATCTTTTAGTGAAGGAAAGGAGGTGTATTTATAGGCTTTTGGGATGGGATTCGGGTACTCGATCGGGTATATATATGTGATGGAGTATATGGCCCGGGAAACCCCGGCCCACAGACTCCTACTACTCCAGTAAAGGCACAACTGGCCCAAATCACAGCGCCCAGAGTACCAAGTTGCCCGCAATACGCACCAGGGGTGCCTTCGCCCCCCTGACCGAAGGCTAAAACTCTCATAGAACGGGTTTCTCGAGCAAACTAAGAAACTGTGGGAAAAACGGCAGAAAAACAGTAGCCCTCGGCACCTGGAGCCCTCGGCACTCAGGGGTCCTCGGCACTAAGATCCCTCGGCTAGTCCTCTGCAGCCGAGGGCACCTCTCCCGACATGATATCCGCATCACATACGTACAGATCACCGTACCCTGTACAGATGTGCCATCCAACAGCCGCATTAAATGCGACCACATGCGGCTGCGAGCGCCAACCAGTTGAGGTGACCTCTCGGCCAATGGGCGCTTGACGCGTGTCCCTGTCCGGCATTTATTGCTACTATAAATAGCACCCCATTTCCCCATTTGTAACCACACTGAAAACGCTCCACACTTATAATATACTTTCTCTCTCTATATTTATTTGCTCTGACTTCTCTCTTGTTACTCCCCGTAATAACCCCTCGGATAAGCTACCCCCCGGGTACACTATCCATCATTTGGTGCTCTCGTTGAGAGCTCGAACAATCGAGTAAGAACCCCCCCTTCTCCAAACACTAGCCCTCTACCAAAATGGTGAGAACTACACGTGCCAACTCCAAAAACGTGGAAGACAAGAACCTGGCCCTCGGCGACGTCAACGCCCCCGAAGCCTCTCACAGGGCTCCCGAGGGCGGTGTCATCGTTGGGTTGGAACAGGCGGCTGTCGACCTACGCCTTCAGATCCAACAGAATGCCCCCGATGCCCGCCTCGGCATCGAGGCCAAGAAGAAAAACCGGAGCGACAACCAAGTCAGCCCTCCGGTTCTCACCATCGACGTTCAGTCGGCGCTCTCCGCCTTCATCTAGACGCTCACTCAGAACCCAGGTGCCTTCGGCACCCTGGCTCTGGCTCAACCCGAGGTTGGGGAGAACATCGTACTTCCCCCTCTGCCACGCCCCTTCGGAAACCCCATCCCTCGGGTAAGGAATGCCGAAGGGGTAGTGGCCCAAGATACGGCCTCCCAGGAAGTTCAGTCCCGGGACCACCACAATGACAACAGAGAAAGGCCCCGCACTTCCGCCCTCAACCGGCTCGGAGGAGGGCCAGACCGCCGAGGGGTCCAAGACCGCCTCGGAGGGAAAGCACTCCAAAGGCCCCAGGAAAGCGGAGGGTCTGTCTCGAGGGCAGACGAGGAGCGTCCCCCTCGGAACAAAGGCAAGGCACCCCTTCATGCCGATGATGCTCGCCACCAAATCAACCAGGCCCATTCGGCCCGGGTTCGTTCGCAGGGGGCGGAGACCCTCCCGAAGGATCCCCGGGACGAAATTATTGCGGCCCTCCAACGCCGGCTTGATGAAATGGAGGCCAACAAAGCTCACGCCACCACCTCCACCCCTCATTCAGACCTCAAATACGAGGCCATGATGGCCAAAATGGAGGAATTACAGAAGAAGGTAGCCGAGGGCTCCGGGGAACCCGTCATCCAGCTCCGGACCCGGACGCCATTTACCCCAAGGGTATTAGCGGCCCGGATCCCGGAAAAATACCGAGGGCAACACATACAGCCCTACAACGGGAAGACGGACCCCCAGGAACACTACAGCAAATACCAGAACAGCATGATGATGGTAGGGGCGTCAGACGAATATTTGTGTCGTTGGTTCCTCTCCACCTTAGAGGGGCCGGCATACGAATGGTTCAACCGGTTGCCCGAGGGCTGCATTGATTCGTGGCAAGAACTCGCCCAGCGATTCTTGACACAATTTACCGGGAGGCGTCGCACGAGGAAGCACTTCTCCCACCTCCTAACCATACGCCAGAAGAGGGATGAGACCCTTCGGGACTTCCTGGAACGTTGGAGAACGGAAGCCGACAAAGTCGACGGTGCTGACGACGGGACCCTCCTGGCCCTCCTACAAACCGTCCTCCGCACCGGTAACTTTTCAAGGAGCCTCATCATTGAACCCCCCCGCGACTACATAAGGGCCCTGCAGCGGGGGGACCGATATGTTGAGGTCGAGGAGGTGGAGAAATACCATCAGCATCCAGATCAGCAACCCCCGAGGGCTGACAACAAGAATAACCGGGGGCCGGGGGCTCCTCCAAATCACTCCAAGGCTTCAGGACCCTCTGATGACCGCCCTCGGCAAGGCCAAGCCAAGCCCGGGGGAGGTTATAAGAGCAGCCCTAAAACTTGGGCACAACCCATTCTCCTGGACCGCCCCCGGACACCGTTGACGCACCCCGTCAGCATCATCCTTGATTTTGCCGAGGAGAGGGGCCTCGTTGAGCGCGATTCTCGCGCACCCCCGGAGGTACATGCTATTAACCCTCAGTTTCCATACTGTCGCTTCCATCGGCACCAGGGGCACAGAACCGATGACTGTCACCAGCTAAAAACGGCCATCGAGAGATTGATACAAGCGGGGCACCTGTCCCAATTTGTTCAGAGCCCTCGGCAGGAGGGACCTTCTCATCAGGGACCTCCCCGAGGGCACCACACGAAGGTGAACGCTTGGGTGAACCCGAACACCATCCCCCTCGGCAAGAAGAGGGAGATCGGAAACTTGGAGGAGGAAGAGGAGGAGTACCCCCACTACCAAGAGAAAAAACGCCACATCCTCATGATTACCGGCGGCAATACAGGGGGCGATTCCACCAGTCAGCGAAAAAAGTGGGCTCAATCTCTTTACGTGGGGGAAGTCACCCATATGCCCCCGGTAAAGCGGCTGAGGGAGGAACCCATCACCTTCACCAACGCAGATCTCCCTCCTACTTCTTCTCCTCACAGGGATGCCTTGGTGATTCGGACTGAAATAAACGACACCATCATTCACCGAACTTACATTGACACGGGCAGCTCCGTCAATGTAATGTACCTCAGCACCTTCAGAGAGCTGCATCTGGAGAGGGGGTCCCTTCGGCCCATTAAGACCCCTCTTGCCGGCTTCACCGACGATACTATTGATTCCGAGGGGGTAATAACCCTCCCGGTGATCTTCGGCGACGGGCTCCATAGAGCCCAGCTCGAAGTGGAGTTCGTCGTCGTCAACATCGACTGCGCCCACAACATCATCCTCGGCCGGCCA